GGACTCAGACATGAAGGGCAGATGGTGGGCACTGACTTGGTGGTCAGCATGAGTCTTTCAGACATAGGCAGGACGAGAGAGGGGTGGTGGGACATTGCAGGGGCAGCTTGCCTCAGRCTGGAGGGGCTCTGGGCTGTGGTCTGTCCAGCTCCCATTCTTCCCTGCAGACCGTCTTGCTGATTCCCAGGGGAACAGCAGCTCCTTCTCAGGTGGCTTCAGAGGGGTAGGGACCTCTGGGAGTCTGTGGGCCTCAGCAATGGGTTTATCAGATCAAACACAGGATGCTAGGATAAATTTGAATTTCRGGTAAGTAACCAGTATTTTTTGTACATGTATATCCCAAATGTCACGCACATGGGTGTTTATCCGAAGTTCAGATTCACATTTTCAATTGCTGCGTGTGACAGCCCTATTTAGTGAAATACAGGTCCCCTAKCATGAGTCCTCAGGGTAGCTCCCCAGCAGGATTGACATGCATAGTCATGCCACTCCTGGAAGGACAGAGGATCAGTGGTGAGGGCATGGAGGAGAGCCCCTTGAGTACTTGTCCTGACGGCCCTGGGCTTGCTGTGGTTGGAACGAGCCCATCAGGGTTCTCTCCCCTTCCAGGTCTTGACCCTGGTGTTCCGAGGTCTAGCATGGTGCACAGCACTGGTCAGGGTTGAGGATGCTTAAGGGAACARACAACTGTATGAAAGGTAAATAAAGGAGAGTTGTTTTTTTTTAATATTTATTTTTTAGTTTTCGGCGGACACAACATCTTTGTTTTGTATGTGGTGCTGGGGATCGAACCCCAGCCGCACACATGCCAGGCGAGCGCGCTACTGCTTGAGCCACATCCCCAGCCCTAAAGGAGAGTTTTGGTGCCCCCTAAGTTTAGCTGAAGATGTCAAGAGGAATTAAACTGACATCAGCTCTCTGAACATTCTGGCCTTTCAGAGCCTGCATGCTTCAGAGGGGASCTCTTAAGTCTTCCTAGGGACAAAGAGGGTGGTGGTTGATATCAAGAAGCAGCACCAGTTGGGTGTGGTGACCACACCTGAAGTTCTAGCAACTCAGAAGGCTGAGGCAGGAGGACCAYAAATTTGAGGCCAGCCTCAGCAACTTGGTGAGAACCTGTCTCAAAATAAAAAAAAAAAAAATAATAAAGAGGGCTGGGGATGTGGCTTTGTGGTACACTGGACTTGGGTTCAATCCCCAAGACTTTAAAAAAAAAAAAAAAGCAGGGTTGGGATTGTGGCTCAGTGGAAGCAAGGTGCTGGGCTCGATCCTCATTACCACATAAAAATAAATAAATAAAATAAAGGTGTCCAACTACAACTAAAATTTAAAAAAAAAAATTATTAAAAAAAAAAAGAAGTGGAAGCACCAAACTTGAGGCTTCTGGAACTTTCTTGGGTCTGGATGTGGAATCCTCTTGGGCAAGACATTTAAATGACCCTTTATAGCATGAAAACAGCTCATTTTCCAACTAACTCAGCAGGATGTAGTTGTTTGCCCGTGCCCCCAGCGAATGGCAGACAGATTGAGGTGCAYGGTGTCCATCTTCCCCGGCTACCCCAGCTCACCCCTTTCTCTCCCTCTCAGGAGGAAGCATCTGAGTCGGAGCGAGAAGTCCACTGTTATAGAAATAGCCTCAAAGCTGTTTTTATTCACATCAAAAGGCAAAGTCATTCACCAGCTCTGAAGTGTGTGCTGAGTCACAAATCACATGTCAGGCACCTCGCTGTCACCTGTCTCCCCTGCATCTGCAGGCCTGGGCATGTGGCTGAGGGCCCTGAGGGTGGCATTCTCAAGATGCTCAGTCTGGATCAGGCTCCGGGCCATTGTGGCAATGCCACTCAAAGTGTGGTCAGCTACTGTTCTACCGGGAGACGGGGAGCTGGTGCCGGGAAGAAGATYAACTGTCACCAGGAAGGCAGCTGAGTGCAGCTGACCTTTCCTGACCAAGGAACTTAAACCAGCTGTGYGACCCCCTGGGTGAGGCCTAGGAGTAGGCAGGCCCCCCTGAGACCAGCGGGACTGAAAGACACTGTTACTTGAKTGACCGCCTGCCCTCTGCAGCCTCCTGCAGAATCTGTCCTTGGTGAGGTTACAGAAGCAGAGAGGCAGACCTGCCCCTGGTGCATGGCGTCAYCTGAGAGCAAGGTGCCCATCCTGTTGCTGGGGACTCCCTCACCTTGGGGTCCTCTCCTTCACAGGGACCCAACAGGTATTGCTGGTTCGACCTTATCTGCCTGTGTCTTCTGCATACTGCATAGTGCCCCTCGGTGTCCTTTAGATAGGGCTTCTGGCTACGTTTTGGCTTCAGTTTCGTTCCAGATGAAAGGCTGCTCATTCTCCTTATCTTTCTCCGGCTTCTGCCTCTGCGGCCTGGACCCAGAGCCAGGCTTTGGGTTGATTGCAGTGAGCACCTCATCTCCAGAGCAGCTTATCTTGGTTGAAACCGGACGTCAGGGTCCAAATCCCCTCTCTGCCACCTCAGCTGTATGACTTGGGGTTGTGTGGCCTCTCTCTACCTCGGTTTTCTTGTGTGTGTTGTGGGGAAGAGCGCAGCTGACCCTAGGTTAGGGGTATGTGAAGTACTGAACACTGAGCAAGGTACGATGTGTTCAGTTGTCTGTCTTTGACCAGCCCACACAGTGGTATTGGGAAACCCGTCACGTTCTGGAAACAGGCAGGCAGTGTCTTCAATAAAATCAGCAAAATCTTCTGGTTGGGATAAAATATTGGAAGACGCATATATCTGCATACTCATTTGCATATATCTACATAAGAAACACCACCACTAGCACCTCTTTTGCATTTAGAAAGACTGTTGGAGCTGGAGTTGGGGCTTGAGAGCTGCTCCCCATGGTTGAATCCCATCCAGAACCCACGCCMGAAGTCACCTCTAGGGAGAAGCTAACTCAGCCTCCACATGAGGCACCCCACCTCACATTGTGCTGCTCAGGAGGTGCCTCCTTTGACCCCACAGCCACTTCTATACCCCTATCCTTGCTGCTGTGGGCTCAGAATGCAAAGTGGTGTCACGAAGGAGCAGGTGGCTGCGAGATAAACACAGGCAAGAGAATTGCCATGGCTGCCCACTTTGCCCACCTCTGAGACTCTGGAGGTTGTCTGGGTGGGTGGTGGTCACAGCAGAGTGGCCATCTAGGAGCCAACCTTTCTGTCCCCAGATTCTTTACAGAGCCACATCAAGAGGATGATGTCRTTTTGGGTCACCTGTACCTGAGAGTTGATGGTCCAGGCTAATTAGCTTGGGGTGCATGGAGGAAGGCCCTGGAATTACAGGGTTTGAGGAGGGTAGGGGTGTTCTCGAGGTTCCCCCAGGTCTCACCCCACTCAGCCGCACCTAACACAAATTGGTGTGCTCTCTGGCTCCTCCTCTAGGTGTGCACGGCCTTCACTTCGGAGTTCGGGAAGTTCAGCCACGTCAACATGCACCACGGCTACACCAACGTGGTGGGTCTGGGGGACTCCAGCACGTGGAAGCTGCCTTGCCTTAACGGCTACGTCTACATGTTCCTCGCGCCCTTCCTCATCCCCATCATCACCCCGCTGGTGGCTCTTGGTGAGTACCTTGATGGCCTGGGTCTAAGTGCCCTGCAGAGGCCTGTCCCACTTCCTTCCTTTCCCTCCTGGCTTGGTGGAAGCCAGAAGCCTTGGGTTCAGACYTTTTGGTCTCTGCTAGACTTTCTGAGCCAGACAACCGGACAGCAGGACACATGTCCAACTCTAGGTCTGCCACCTACTGGCTGGTGAACTTGCGCAGATAACCTGACTTCTCTGAGCCTCGGGTTCCTCAAGGATGGTGTGAAAGCATAATGAGGCCACAGCCAGAGCTTTGTAGATGCACACTGATCATCGTAATAGTTRGCATCACGGGAGCAACACCACGGGGTAGAAGGAACAGGGGGATGGTGGCCTTAAGTTGGTCATGTTGATTAGTGGCTCCCTTCCTCATCCAAACAATGGGTGAACACTCAGGCCACCCCCCTTGGCCACCAGGAAGCCAGCTGGTGAGGCCTCCAAACCTCGCCTGCCCTCATTCCCTGTCTTGCCCTCTGGCAGAGCGGCTGTGGAAGGTGGAGCTGCGGATAGCTCTGCGGACGCTGGGCCTGATTTCCCTGGGCCTTTACTCTCAGTACTGGCTGCTCCTGAACGTGTCCGGCTTCAGGAGCCCCGGCTCGGCCCTGGCCTGCATGCTGCTCATCAGGGCCCTGCTGGCCCACCCCTTCCTCCACGTCAACATCTTCCAGGTGAGGCCTCCMCACCCCTGGCACTGGGGAGTTATGGGGAGCACTCTCCAGGGAGGTGACMCAGGCTGGGAGAGGGAGGGCACAGGAGGAAGCAGCCCCTTTCTGGGGTCCCCTCTCGGTGGCTTGAGTTTTAGGTGAAGAGTTTGCTTGCCCTCAGCCAGCTGCCCTGCCTCATCTGCAGGTGGATTTCCATGTGAGGTGAAGCGAGGGTCCCTGTCAATGCCACAAGGCAGGCAGAGGAGGGAACTGGAGATGGGAGTCTTGGTGGGAGGCCGGGGGCTCCGCATTCAGTTCTGGTGCATTTCCACTGGGGTGTCTCCCTGTGTCCCCATCAGTGGAGACCCCAGGTTGGAGTTCCCTGTACACTCACCTGGCACTCAGTACAACTGCCATCAATTACTTAATCCCATAACTGTGTCCCGTCTGCTTGTCCTTCTCAAATGGAGGTTTCTGCTCCCCTCCAAGTTCCCTAGACCCAGGACCGTGCCTGAAAAAGGAGGTACCTGCACGTACTCAGTGAAGGAAAAAGCACAAGAGGATGCACAGACTTGAACTTGAACAATGAGTGGGGTTTTGACTGGTGAAGAGAACTGGGAAGGTCTCTCCAGGATGAGGCGAAGGCACGGTTCCATGTGGGCAGTCAGGCATTCAAGTACCAAGGGTGCAGAGGTCCCAAGCCAGGCCTCTCTTTGTCCAGATGGGAGGAGGCCCAGAGATGGGAGAGACTCAGCTCAGAGCCCAGATTGGGTTGGCATCAGAGCTGAGCCAGAGCCCCACCCCCTCCTGCCTCCACCAGGTCCTTCTGGGTTAGGACTTGAGGGGCAGAGCACACGGGGCCTCTGAGTGCTTGGTGAGGACACCTGAGGCAAGGGGGAGGTCCAGGCCCCACCYCAGGACATGACCACATGTCTGTCACAGCACATAGGGCTGCCCATGTTCTCCCGGGACAAGAAGCCCCAACGGATCCACATGATGACCCTGGGGGTTCTCAACCTGCCCCGGCTGCCCGTGTTGGACTGGGCGTTTGGCCACTCGCTCATCAGTTGCCATGTAGAACACCACCTGTTCCCCAAGCTCTCTGACAACATGTGTCTGAAGGTAGACAAGGGCTGGGCTGGAGGGGCTGGGAGGACATGCCTGGCTGGTGGTGGGCAGTGGTAACCTCTAGTGTTCAGCTGAACCCTGGGTTCCCCAACTGGCCTGGTCAGAAGTCACCCAGGAGGGGCACCCTAACTGACAAGCAGCAACGTGGGTTGTAGGTCAGAGACACCTGGGTTTCTTACCAGCAATGGGACTCTGGACAAGTTAATTGAGCCTCAGCTTCCCCATCTGTAAAATGGGATGAAACTGCTTACCTACAGGACTTGGATGGACTGAAGAAACAGACCTGAAATACTTGACACCAAGCAGGTGCTTGGCAAAGGGAGCCATGCTTTTCATTTCCCTGTGCCAAGAGGGGCTGTTGCACGGTTGGGACCTCAAGGGAAGATTTGGGGGAGAAATCCTCCTTCCCTTGCCTGCGRGTAAAGTTGAGGGAGGCAGGAGTTTTCCAACGCCTCAGCCCTCAGCCAACGCCCCTGCCCTCTCTGCCCTGAGCATTCTGGACAAGGCAGATGGGAGCTGGGGCTAGGAAGAGGAGACAGCTCCTGGGGTGGACGGGCTGCGGCAGGCCCTGCTCACAGCCCCTCCTCCTGCCATCTTCCAACAGGTGAAGCCTGTGGTGTCCCGGTTCCTCCAGGAGAAGCAGCTGCCATACCAAGAGGACTCGTACTTGGCTCGCTTCCGGCTGTTCCTCAACCGCTACGAGGACTTCATGGTGCAGGCCCCGCTGATCACTGAGGTGGTGGGGCTGCAGTGAGGGCTGGGCTCCGCTCCCCGGCCCAGCCCTGGTGCTCCTGCTGCTGCTGGTTCTCGGGTGGTGTGCAGTGGTGGGTGGTGGGCGTGGAGCATGGAGGCTTGGGTGGGCAGTGAGACAGGGCAGCTGATGGGTGCCCTGTGTCCTGGGGGTTGCTTGCCCTGTTTGCTTTTTGGGGAYTGGAGGGGTCTCTGGGTGAAAGGAATCTTGGTAACTGGGCATCCTGGGCCTGGCTCCATCTCAGGATCTTCCCCTGCTCCATTTGAGCCTGGCAGGGCAGCAATGCCAAGGGTGAGGCCAACTGGGAGAGGGAAGGGGCAGAGAGCAAAGGTCAACCCCTTAGCTGGGGCCTCCTTGACACCGAGAGAGTGGYGCACTTGCTTGACTGCTGCTTCTTCCTCTGCTCTTCAAGGCTCTGACCCAGGGCCCCCTCCCCAGGGAACATGGGGCAGGGTCACTTTTGGCAGACTCCCTAGTTTCTCAGCCAGAGAAGCCTGTTCAAGTTCCCAAGGCCCACAGTGTCACTGAGATGAAAGTGAGTATATTTTGTAGGGAAAGCTCTCAGGATAAGAGAGGGGAGAAAGTCCCTCAGGGACACAGCTGGGGGAAGAGTATAAATAGATTTGATTGTGACCTTGGCTAGCTCTGGAAGTCTGCTTTGTTCCATGATGTTTAGAAGCACAGGCCTGGGAGAGAGAATTACTGGGAGGTAGCTGAGTCTGGAGGGGGTTATGGGAACCAGTTTGAAGGATAGGTGGCCTTAGAGGAGACAGAACAAAGAGGGTGGGGTGAGACAGATGAGCTTGAGGTCAAGGGCTGGGCTTGCAGTGAAAAGGTGGTCGGCAGCCTAGGGGTGAGGTGGGAACATAAGGAAACTGCTGGTGCCAGACCTGGGAAGAGGCCAAATGTGGGGACCCAATGAGATTCAGCCYGAAGGAGGCAGAATTGAGGGAGGCTGGGAGCTGCCCCAGTTGGGGGCTGGACTGAGAAAGTCTAAGAAAGTGCCCAAATGGAAGCTAGAGGAGGCCAGATGTGCGACATGAGACCACAGCAGTTCATTTATGCAGAATTTCCCACTATTGACATTTTACCTGGATAATTCTTCTTGGCTGTCCTATGAATTGTAGACTATTAAGTGGTGCCCTTGGCTTCTATCTACRAGATGCTGGGATTCCAATCATGACAATCAAAAATGTTTCCAAGCTGGGCACAGYGGCACATGCCTGTWATCCCAGTGACTTGGGAGACTGAGGMAGGACTGCAGGTTCAAAGCCAGCCTCAGCAACTTGGTGAGGCCCTGATCAACTTAGATGCTATCTCTAARTAAAAAATTAAAAAGGGCTGGGGATGTGACTCAGTGGTTAAGTGCCCTGGGTTCAATCCCTGGTACGTACACACACATACACGTTTCCAAATGTGGTCAAATGTCCCTGGCCTATTGGAGAGCACATCTCCAGTCTCTGGTGTGGACTCTGGCACCTCTGCCATGTAGCTGCTTGGTATCCCTCTAACTCCTRCAGGCCTTCTCCTATAGCTGTGGCCCTTGGTGGCCCCATAGCTCCTTCGGGCACCCTCTCCTCCAGCTATGGCTCTCATGAATTCCCAAGCTACTCCTTCCTGGGACTCTTTGGGGGCCTGGCCCAGCAGTCTCAGCTGTTGCTCACCCCAGGGTGCTTCTCTGGTCCCTTAACCTTGCTCACACCTCTTTATTTCTTCATTAAACTCTCTTCAATCACCCCTTTTGAAYATGCCATCTGTTCCCTGCTGGGAGGCTCACTGACAGAGCAGAGTTTTGGATCCAAACAGCCCTCCTGGAACGAGGCAGGCTTGGCAGCTGCCCCAGCCTACTGCTTTGCTATATGATGTTGCTTCTCTTTTGAAATGCATTAGCCACACAGAAATGGTCTTAAGGTCTAGGACTGTGATTCATCAAACAGCTAATTCTCCATATGAAAAATGCACTGTCAGGAGAAAGGCCCCACTCTCATACTCCAGGCTAATGATTAAAACCGTCCAAATACATAACCAATGACTCAGTGTTATTGATCTGGGCCTGAATGGGGTATGGGCAGCAAGCAGCTGGATGTATCACAGGCACCTTAGAAATAAGTCATTTGATTTCTTTGAAGCTTGATTTTCTGTTACTCTGAGGATGTGAGCTGGGAATGATTGTTACTTGAGAAGTGCRGAGAGGTGACAGGAGTGAAATGAAGTGCTTCTAGGGTTTTGCAAATACCTGTGGTCTAGTTTACAGAGGTATGTGGGAAGCGACAATATTGATGATAATATTTATTTTACATGTAGCAGATGTTTTTAACTGACATCATCTAATTTTAATCTTCAAAAGTTGGTACAATTTTTTCCTCATATTACAGATGGTGGGGAAAAAAAGACAGGGAGAGTAAACTTCTTGATGTTATATAGCTAATGAGTGGCAAAAGAAAGATGTGAACTCTGTATTCATGTTCTCAACCGCTAGACATACTGCCTCTGATGGGCAGGGAACCTTATAGAGCTTTCTGGGTGACTGATTCTGCATTTCCACCTTGTTCTCCTGTGTGAATGGATAATCAATGGTTTTATCATTAAGACAAATTCTTTATGAATGTGCATTGGGTGGTAGGCCCTGTTTGAAACTCCAGGAATAGGAGTGAATGAGATTAGGCTGCCCACCCTCATGGAACTTACAACTAGTGAAGAGGTTATCAAATTCTTTCCATAAAGGGCTAGATAATAAATATTTGGGGGTTTGTGGACTATGTGATCCCTGTCACAGCTACTCAAATGTTCCATTAAAGCACAAAAACAGCTAGAGACAATATGTAAAGATATGAAAATGGCTTTATTCTAATAAACTTTATTTATAAACACTGAAACTTGAATTTGTATAATTTTCCTATATCACAAAATATTTTAAAAGGTTTTTAAAAAATTAAAAAGCAAAAACCCTACTTTGTGTACAACCAGAGGTATGAAAAAGTGTGCTCTATATGTATAATATGAATTGTAATGCATTCTGCTGTCATATATAACAAATTAAAATTTTGAAAAAATGAAAAAAAAAGCTTCAATTGTCATAAACAACAACAAAAAAGCAAAAACCAATGTCACGGATCATACAAAACAACCCCCTGGGCAGCACTTGGCTTGCAAGCCACAATATGCATACTCACCAACTAGTGAGATAGCCATAAAACACAATGACAGAGCAGAATAGTATTTACTTCTCAGGAGGGAGGGGGAGTGGTTACATATTTACACCCCCAAGCTGTACATTCTGATTTGTGAACTTTTCTGTATGTTATACTTCAGTTAAAATAATTAAAAATGGCAAGCAGGGTAGTGTTGAAAAATTACAGGAGGACATTGTTTTGGACTAAATATTAAAATATGTATTATTTATCCTGATTGCTGAATTTTTTGGTGCCCCCTTAAATTCTGCACCCGAGGCAGGYATCTCACCCTGGTCCTCGGGCTAATGGACAAAAGCAGGAAGGAGGCAGAGTTACACAGCTGAGCCTTCAGGGAAACTGAGACAGCACAAAGGCGCCTCTTCAAACTGCCATAAAGTCAGAAAGATTTTAAATATGTGACTTAGAGTAAGAGGCTTGAGTTTATCAGAAGGGATGGGAAAAGGTAAAAGGGGACACCCTCAAGGGAGAGAATGGGTCCTTTCCAAGAGGAGAGGAATTAAGCTTCTCCCGCCTTCCAGTTTTATTGGGATCCCAGGGGAGTTTCCAGAAAGTTCTGCCCAGGTCCACCTCTTGCCTTTTGATAGCAGGATGTCATCAGGCTTTCAAGTCCCCATGCCTTAACAACTCTAGGTCCCTTTGGCCCATACTGACCAGTTTTAATTGGAACCTGTTCTTAACAGATTTTACGGTTAGGGGAATTTTCCGACTCTTCCCTTGTTYTGGGATCTAGTCTGTAAGAGTCACAAAAGTCCCTTCAGTGTTACTTGTGCTCTTCTTATCAGCATTCCAGGCCTGCGTTCATCCTGTCAACTTAAGCCAGGCAGGGCTGCAGGTGAATTGCTTTTTGGAAAACAAAGCTTACGGGGTCAGCAGATGGGCCCAGTTTACATTCTTTTGGGGAGTGGGGTGGAGCCCCTAACCTCCTGTTCTCGCCGCTCGCATCCCTGGGGCAAACAACTCCCCCTGCCTCCCCCGACCCGCGTTTCCTCACCTATAATGGGGAAGGAAGAGGGGCGGGACAAGCTCTCAGGGTCTAACATTCTTCCTCGCCCGACCTGGACAGCACCCGGGGTTGAAGCGAAAGTCGCCGAGATTCAGGGAGAGAGCCCGCTTCCCCGCACTTCCCGACTCTGCGTCCCTCCAATGGGCGGGGAGGAGAGCTTAGAGCTGGAGTCCTGATTGGCTGAGGCTGACCACACAGGAGGATGCGCTTCAGTAAGGCAAACGCGCGTTGCGTCATCAGTAAGCGACTAGGACCCTTCAGTGAAATAAACTCCTTTCTAATTGGCTCCCTCCTTCCAGAGAGACTGGAGCAGCGGTGGGGGATTCGCTGTCCTCCAACTCTAGACTTCCGGTATTTGGAGGGAGGGTGAAGATTGGGGAGAAACATCTGAAGTCTCTAACGGCCCTGAAGTCCTGAGGGGCGGGACTKTGGCCGTAGTGGGTGGACCCTGGGGCGGGTCTCTCGTGGGGGCGGGAATTCTTTGGGGGAGTGGGTGGAGCCGCAACCTGTGCTTTCCCAGAGTGTGAGGCGGGGCCAGCCGTGTGGGCGGGATCAGAAGTCGGACRGGGCGGGGTCAGGGGCGGAGTCAAGGAGGGCGGGGCCGAGCCGACGCCGAGCGCGGGGCAGTCACCGGGAGCAGGTCCCAGCTATGGCTCCGCGCTGCTGGCGCTGGTGGCACTGGTTGGGGTGGCCACGAATCCGACCACCTTCCGCTAGTAACTCCACGAGTAGGTGCAGGGCACTTTGGGCTGGATGGGAACCCGGGAGGCCTGGGAGCGCGAAGTGTAAGGGTCGCCGCGGAGCTGGGCTGAGCTGGAGAAGGGAGAGACTTAAGGAGCCCATTCATAGAGAAGTGAGGGGTGGTGTCGGGCAAATGGGGGCCTGCGTGGTGAGATGTGAAGCCTCACGGATGTGACGGGGGTTAGCAAAGATTGAAAGGAGAGACCATGAGGTCCACGTGTGTGAGACGGGGTTGACACAGAGGTCTGTGTGGAGACAGRGAAATTTGAGGTGAAACAGGGTCTGTAGGAGCAATATCGAGTTCTAAGGAGAGAGGGGAGTTAAAAGAAGCAAGAGAGGGGCTTGTGGGGAGATCCCCACGGGTGGGCGGGGTTGGGATGTTATGGAGTCAGTGGGAAGATGTGGGATAATAGCTGATTGGGTAGGGAACTCTCTAAGAAAAATGAAAAAGTTCTGGGCAGGGAMGCTTCAGGGGCCATGAGGGTTGTGGACAGGACATAGGTTCATGGGCAAGGTGTGGGTATCTGGATAAAGACACAGCCTTTGGGGGTTCAGATGAAGTGAGGAAMCCTGTAAATGCCAAAGCTTTGAGAAAAAGGAGAAGGAAGGTTCAGGGGAGGGTGAAGCTCTGCAAGAYGCATCTCCTGACAGACTCTACTGAAATTGGTTTGGGATTAGAGTGTTGATTTGACCTTGCTCCCCTTCTCTGCCCAGACTCAGGCTTCTACCGGCATTTCTCTGCACAGAAGAATCCCCAGATCTGTGTGGTGGGCAGTGGCCCAGCTGGCTTCTACACGGCCCAACACCTGCTAAAGGTAAGCCATTTCTTCAGGCTTCATCCCCATAATTCATTCACCTGTCRCTCCATCCCAAGGGCAAGCTCTACCCCTTTTGGGGGTTGCCTGATGAGGAAGAGGCTCCCAGCCCACCTGGGCTGTATACTTTTTACCTGTTTTCTTACCTAGAGCTGGGGAGTCCCACCTTAGGTCCTCAACTATAGCTGGTTGTCAGTGGCTGATGGGCAGCTGTGCTTCCTTGGCCCAGCACTCTAAGGAGCTTATGCTCCTTAGACAGCCCTCCAGATTGGCTGTCTTCTCCTCATCTTTTCTTTTCCTTGTCTCCAGTTTGTCTCTGACAGCCTGCATTTCGAGGCACCTTCTTCTCCCAGCTTTCTGTAATTTTATCCAATTTGCTGTGCCCTCCTCACCCACAGCTCCAGTCCTCCTGATGCCTGGCTCCTCCCCATTACAGGCCAAGGTCTCAAGGCTTTCAGTATTTGCCAAGGCTACCAGATACACTAGAGCAGGGGGAGACCTAGGTTAACTGAGATGAGTCAGTGGCCTAGATTTGGAGGAACTTGGAGTGTCTTTGGAGAGACAGAAGAAAGGATGAATATATTAGTTATATACAATGCAGATTAAGAAAGATAGGGTGGCTTTGGGATTAGATAGGGTGGCCCACTGTCCTGATTTGCCTGGGACAAGGGATTTTCAGTGCTGAAACTAGGAAAGGTCTCATGGAGACCAGGATGAATTGGTCACTGTTGAAGTGGCCTACACATGCTTTCCAAGCAACATGGGTGACAGAGCTAGTTAAATGATACAAGCAGAGTGAGCCAGACCAGGTGGGTCAACAAGAAGCTCTTTCCTACCAGGTGTGGTGGCACGTGCCCATAGTTCCAGCAACTTAGGCTGAGGCAGGAGGATCCAAGTTTGAGGCCAATGTGGACAACTTAGTGGGATCCTGTTTCAAAATAAAATTGGAGAAAAAAGTGAGGGGCTGGGGATATAGCTCAGTGATAGGTGTATGGTGCATTTGAGTTGCACTGAAGGCCACTGGCTATGGGAAGGGCCTCTGGTGTGTGAGGAGTCAGCCTGGAATGCAAGGCCATGGGTGCAGGAGGACAGCCTGGGCTCTGGGATRGAGGCCAGGGAGCTCATACCATCTGGGGGACCACAGAGCCCCTCCCATTTTTTTGTGGTACTGGGTATCAAACCCGGGCCTCTTCAAGCTGGGCAAGCACTCCTACTAACTATACCCCCGGCCCAGAACCTCATTTTAAATTTCAGTTGTACTTGCTGTTTGCAGGGTAGACATAGGCAGGACTGGGATAAGGATTAGGGATCAGAAAGAGATGAGCAAGGAGACCCAGGGGCTAGCTCTGGGTGGAAGGCGTGAAAGGAAGCATAGGAGCAGAAGGGGAGACATTTGGGGGACAACAGTATGGTTTTATCTCAGTGGCTTCAGGATGTCTGCAATGGGTAAGACAGCCTAGGGTCTCAGGGTTAGACTTGGAGAGAGGACTGGGCAGAAGAGGGAGAGGGAGAAGGAAAAAGAGATCCATAATTTGAGATCAGGAAGAAGTCAGTAAAACCTCCCCAGAACTTGGGGAAAGGAGGGTCTCAGACTAGAAGCACCTCCAAAAGTGTCCTTGTTAGAGGGAGAACAGAGGGAAGGGGAACCAAGAAGGAGCAGCCAGAGGGATGGGGGGAACTATGAGGGTAAGGGAGGGGGTTTCCTGGAGGATGGGGTTGGCCAGGTGAGATAAGGGGTGTTATGATGGTGACCTTGGAGAGAGCCTTCTTACCCAAACAAAGAAAAGCACAGAAGGTAAAGACAGCTGGGTTGTGTCATGTTAGGACTTGACTGCCAGGCTGAGCAGTTTGAACTGTTCCATGGCAGCAGGCAGCAAAGGAAGGTTTTGGAGCAAAAGACAGGTAACAACAGTGGTAGTGATAGTAATGATAGTTTACGTTGATTGAATGCCCTTGTCGGGCCAGGCCTTGGCCAAGAGCTTCAGGACTTACTCATTTTACCTTGAGCCTGACCCAGAAGGGATGTTCTATTGTACAGAGAAACTAGAAAACTTTCTCTGTGGCACAGAGCCAGTTAGTGGTGGCCATGGCTGTGGACAGGCAGTGGAATGGAGGAAAGAGGGGATTTCGCAAAGCTGAGGCACTGAGGGCAGGAGCTCCTAGGCCTTGCATTCCGTTGAATCAGGAGGTACTACAGGAAGTGTCTATGTGGGAGTGCAAGCCAGGGTGTCTTCCATAGGAGCCCCATTGCTGTACCCCAGATGGTTTGTGGCCAAAATGTCTCACCATCTTGACCTCCTGATGCTTCTCAGTTTAGAGGAAGAACCTGAGACCTAGGAGGTCCTGGGACTTGCAAGGCTCATGCTGCTGGTTGGTGGCAGAGCCAGACCAGGCTTATCTGCCCAGTCCCAGCTCTGTGCCATCCCTACAGCCCCTCAGGGTGCCGCAGGAGGACAGGCAATGTGGAACTTCTGTTAGAGTGAAACTGTTTTCTAAGACTGGGAATAAGTTCATTTCTGCCTCCTTCTCCCCTGCCCATGCCCCTGCTATGTCCCCATTTCCTATCTTGTTGGTCCCTGTTCCAGTAGGATGACATTGGAGACTAGAGCTAAGGGTAGGTATGAACTTAAAAGGGTGGTTGGGTAGTGTGGCACATACCTCTAATCTCAGCTTCTTGGGAAGCTAAAGCAGAAGGAACACAGATTTGAGGGCCTGTCTCAAAATATAAAAAGGGGTAGCTCAGTGGTGAAGCTACCCTTGGGTTCAACCCCTAAAACCATTAAAAAAAAAAATTTTCAGAAGGTGATTCTGAAGTCATCAGACCTGCTGAGTATTTCTAGAAGTGTCAGAGGGTCGGAGGGCAAGGCTGATCTGAATTGAGTAGATGATGCACCTCTGATACTAAACTCCATGGAGGGGAAGCTTCAGCTCTCCTTATTTTGCCACATTTCTCCCAATCTCATGGCTGGCTATCCTTCCTGAGGTCTGACCTCAGCCCGTCTTGCTGCTCGTTCTGCCCCATACCCCTGTTGAGCTCTCTGGACAGAAGAGGAGACAAGGGGCACTCTTTCTTCTCATAGATAGTCAAAGCCTCTTTGTGTTTTCTGCTCTCTGAGATGAGTTCTCCTGCTCTGTCTGGGGAAGGGAGGACCCAAGGGGGCCCTGCTTTTCCCTCCACCCTCCCAAATGTGCCTTCTCTCCCAGCACCACACCCAGGCCCATGTGGACATCTATGAGAAGCAGCTTGTGCCCTTCGGCCTAGTGCGGTTTGGTGTGGCACCTGACCATCCYGAGGTGAAGGTGGGTCTCTCTGAGTATTGAGGGTGGTGTTTGGAGACACTGGTCCAGACAAGGAGGTCAAGGAGGCTCCCTGGCTGGATAGAATGACCCTAGGCCCCCTGTGATGGTTCAACCAAGGCAGGCGTGAGGGTGACACTGGGTCCCTGGAGCTGCCTCAACCTCTAATCCCTCCCTTTTGGGGGCTTACTGGCAGAATGTCATCAACACCTTTACCCAGACTGCCCGATCGGACCGCTGTGCCTTCAGGGGAAATGTGGTGGTGGGCAAAGATGTGACAGTGCCTGAGTTGCAGGGTGCCTACCATGCGGTGGTGCTGGTGAGTGTGAGGGCCCTGGTGGGGAGACTGTGGCTGGAGGATGGTAGCTGAGGCACGGATGGGGCAGGGCTGAGGCCAGAATGGAAGCTCCTGAAGGGATCCTTGGGGACCAGGTGGGGCTGCCTGGCCCTGTGGTRCTGGTGCTGAGGGCTCTGGGCCTTGGGCCTGTGATCTTTCCTCAGAGTTATGGGGCAGAGGACCACCGGAGGCTGGAGATTCCCGGTGAGGAGCTGCCTGGTGTATGCTCGGCCAGGGCCTTTGTGGGCTGGTACAATGGGCTTCCTGAGAACCGGGAGGTGAGTTTGGGGAGTACTCCTGCTGCCACTTCCTCCCCAGCCCTTGCAGGGCCAGGGAAGCCCTCAGAGGCCAGAGCTGGGGGAGGAGGCAGTGAGGAGTGAGATGAGGARGTGGGAGAGATGGACTGACAGGCGTGGCAGGTCAGCCATGGAGGGACTCTGGGCAGAGGTGGGGACAGCTGGGGGAGAAGGGCCCCACCTGATGCTCAAGTAGGATGGACTTTCAGAGCCGGGACTGGGCATGAGGTGTCTGCAAATGAGATTAGCCTGACTAGAGCTAAGGCTAGGGGCACACTATAAGACCTTTTCCCTGCAGCTGGCACCAGACCTGAGCTGTGACACAGCCGTGATCCTGGGGCAGGGGAATGTGGCTCTGGATGTAGCCCGGATCCTGCTGACCCCACATGAGCACCTGGAGGTGAGTGGGAGGTCAGCTGCTGCAGGTGAAGGCACCCTGAGGGGAGGGTACCCTGCTTGCAGGGATGAGGCCTCCTCCCTGAAGCCCAGCTCAGCACCTGTTTCCTCAGGTGCCCAGCCAGGCAGAGGCCCTCTGGAAGGCAGCCCTGTGAGCTTCATCTTATATCATTTCCCCTTCACCTTCAGCATCTCTGGTTCAAGGGATTTTTTTTTCTTTTTTTTAAGCTCAAATGTGCAATAGGACCTTTGCATACACTGTCCCTCTTGCTTGGAAGATTCTGGCTCACCTCCTGTCAGTTGTGAAAGTTCATTGGCTTAGTTATTCTTGCCACCAGGAAGCCTTCCAGGATCTCCAAGAATAGGTCCACTTCCTCTGTAATATCTTTTTCTCACAGATCAGTCTACTTTTTTTTTTTTTTTTTTTTTGGTACTAGGGATTGAATCCAGGGGTACTTAACCACTGAGCCATATCCCCAGCCCTTTTTATTTTAAGACAGGGCCTAGCTACGTGGCTTAGGGCCTTCCTAAGTTGCTGAGGCTGGCTTTGAACTCGCAATCCTCCTGCCTCATCCTTTCAAGCCACTGGGACTACAGGTGTGTGCCACTGTGCCTGGCAGATCAGTCTACTTCTGTTTCACGTATAGCCTATTGTCAGCACTGCAGTTTCACACTCATTGATGAGATTTGATGAATATTTCTCTCTTCACCAAATAAGAAGCTCTATGAGGGCCAGAACCATGTCTGTTTTGCTCACATAGACTGACCTTGCCTAGTGCTGGGCACATGGTAAACTCTCAGTACTTGTTCCTTGAGAGTCAGGGTTTGCTGCTAGTTGGAGCAATCTGCAGTTTGCAGTAGTGCTTCATCTGACCACCAGGGGGAGCRGTGGTTCAGTTTTGGGCTGCCAGCTTTCTGCTCAAGAGTTTGGGACATGACCAAATGGAGAGTCCCCTTCTCCAGGTTGGTGTCCAATGATTTCAAGGACCTCCTTTTGTGCTAGAAAACAGACATCACTGAAGCTGCCCTGGGAGTGCTGAGGCAGAGTCAGGTGAAGACTGTGTGGATAGTGGGCCGGCGTGGACCCCTGCAAGTGGCCTTTACCATTAAGGTACAGGGGTCAGATGAGGAGGGGCCAGGGTCCCAGATAGAGGGTCTTCCCTTGGGGGATGGGGTGGCTCAGCCCCTGGGAGTGCTGCTGCCTGGGATAGAACAAGGCCCCCAGGGCCATGTGCTTTCCCCCCTCCTGGACTGGACTTGGGTGGGCTCAGGAGTGGACATGCTCAGGGCCTGACCTCCTCCCCACTCCCCACTCCCCATCTTCAAGGAGCTTCGAGAGATGATTCATTTGCCAGGAACCCGGCCCATTTTGGATCCTGCAGATTTCTTGGGCCTCCAGGACAGAATCAAGGGTGAGGGGCCCTGGCCTGGCCCCCGGCTCACAAGGGAGGGATGGCTTAGGTCAAAGAAGGCTTGCGGGAGGACTCAGGGAGTGGCGCAACCCTAAATGTTCTGCATTGCTGACAGAGGTTCCCCGTCCAAGGAAGCGGCTGATGGAACTGCTGCTTCAAACTGCCACAGAGAAGCCCGGGGCGGGGGCTGCCCGCCAGGCATTGGCCACCCGTGCCTGGGGCCTCCGCTTTTTCCGAAGCCCCCAGCAGGTGCTGCCCTCTCCAGATGGGCGACGGGCAGCAGGCATCCGCCTAGCGGTAACCAGACTGGAGGTGAGTCTCATGCTACCAAGGACCCCTCCCTTCTAGGCTGCCCATCCAGCCTGCTGTTGCTTGCACTCTCCCCAACAGGGTGTYGGTGAGGCCACCCAGGCAGTGCCCACAGGAGACACGGAGGACCTCCCTTGCGGGCTGGTACTGAGCAGCGTTGGGTATAAGAGCCGCCCCATTGACCCCAGTGTGCCTTTTGACTCCAAACTTGGGATCATCCCCAATGTAGAGGGCCGGGTTGTGGATGTGCCAGGTGAGAGGGTATGGGAAGACTGKGTACCTAATTATGGTGGGGAGCTGGAAGGCCGATGTCCCCAGGGCCACTCATTCATCTAGTGACACACTATGAGAACCTGCTCTGAGGCAGACCCTATCCCAGGACCCAGCCCACCCTGGCCCTAGAAGGAGTTCCCAAGCACTAGGACATGTTGTCATTATGTCCTCCAGTAAACCTTCACCAAAGCCTGGTCTGGGCCGAGCCTGTGCTCAGTGCTAGGGTTAGAGAAGAGCGCCCCCATCCTCAGCTTCCAGTCTAAGTACCCACGTGCGTTCATTTAGTAACAGTTACTAAAGGCCTCTGGACTGGGGGTGGACAGGCCCTAGGGATGAGGGGCAAAAACATGGCAAAAACAGGTTGAGAAGAATTCAAGGTGGTACTAGTGGCCATAATGGGCCCAGCTGGTGGGTCTTCTGGGGGACTCGGTCRTATATCTGCGTGTGCATATGCATATAGGTTGGGACACAGGCTTGTCCAGCAGTGTCCAGCCATGTCCCCTTCCTTTGTTGCCCCATTCAGGCCTCTACTGCAGTGGCTGGGTGAAGAGGGGACCCACAGGTGTCATTACCACTACCATGACGGACAGCTTCCTCACTAGTCAGATGCTGCTACAGGACCTGAAGGCCGGGCTGCTGCCCTCAGGCCCCAGGCYGGGCTTCACAGCCATCCAGGCCCTGCTGAGCAGCCGAGGTCTGGGCCCCGATGCTGAGATTTGGGGAGTGGGAGGATGGCTTCTCTTTGGGCTTCTCTCTCTGGGAGGAGGGTCCTCTGGAGGGGATAAAGGAGGAGGTGGCAATATTGACTTCTCTTTCTTCTACTTCAGGTGTCCGACCAGTCTCTTTCTCAGATTGGGAAAAGCTGGATGCTGAGGAGGTTTCYCGGGGACAGGGTGCTGGGAAGCCCCGGGAGAAGCTGGTGGATCCTCATGAGATGCTGAGGCTGCTGGGGCACTGAGCCTGGATCCCAGTCCCTATCAGGAAAAGGAAGAGCACTGTGCAGGGAGGAGGAGCATGAGTCAGTCTGAGCCAGACTCTTCCCCAGCTACAGCACCACCTGCCCAGGCTGGGGGGCTTGGCTGGCCCTTTTCCAGGGGTCTCTGAGTACTGCCTCCTATGAAGTTGTCCTTGCCAGTGTGGGTTAGGAGGTAACCTAGTGTTAGGTGGGGTGCAGGCCCATCCCACCTCCTCCCACCTCTCTGCTGCTGGATTTTGGGGGGCTACTTGATCAGGAATATGATGGAAATAAAGCAGTTACAACCAAAGGCCATGGTTGATGGGACTATTTCTTTAAGAGACTGGGGTACCGTTCTGGCTGCAGCTTGCCTGTGGTCACCAGGTGACACTGGGGAACCAGCTCCCTGGTCAGGGACCTCTTGGGCTGGGTTTGGTGGTCAGGCCTGGCATGCCTGCGTGCCCCCTCTCTGATCTTGGTTCCACTACTGTGGTCTTCCCTATTCTGCCCACGTTTTGGTCATCCCTGGCCAGTGCCGAGTCTACCCTGCCCTGCTGGCCCTGCTCCCTGGTGCCTTCCCTGGTTAGCCCCCAGGACAACTGAGATACTGAGATGAGGAAAAGGGTGGGAGTGGGAATTGGGCAGCGACTTGCTCCAGGTCCCTCCCACTGGCCCAGCAGGTCTGGCCTGGATCCCTAGTCTCTCTGCAGGCTCTCTGTGCCTTCCGGCCTCTGTCGCTTTCCAGCCAGATCCACGATTCTTTTTAAAAATAGTTCCTGGATTATTTCAATTTACAGTGTTTTATGGCAGCTCCAAGATGTTGGCCTCACTTTATAAACTGAGGGACCCTCGAAATGAACTGGCCCAAGGTCACACAGCTAGCGAACTGAGGGCTAAACCCAGGGCTCAGGGCAAGCTGGTGTTTTCTCCATAGCCGCACTTGCCTCTGGATATCGGGTCTGGGGACACAGTCCCAGAGAGGGGAGAGAGGACCTGGGCACCCGGCGGGCCGGCAGGGAGGGGCCTGGAGGGGCCCGGAGGGGCGCGGGCGGCGGGCCGGGGCGGGGCGGAGGCGGCGGGCGGCGGCGAGCGCTCCGCCACAGTCGGCTGGCGAGCCCTGGGAGCCGGAGGCGCAGCCCAGCCCGGGACGGACCCCGGCGCCCAGCGGGTCTTGGGCTGGGCGCGGGGGCCGGCGGGACTCACCTGCCAGGCCGCGCTGCGGGCACTGGTCCCGCCGCGCCGGGCTCAGGCGCCCGCCGAGCTAGCAGCGAGCGCGCCAACGCGCCGGGGCCGTGGCGCCAGGACAGGCACCGCGCGGGAGGCGGCCGGCGCGGGCTCTGGGCGCGGGCGCAGCGCCCCTTCCCCCGGTGAGTGGCTGCCAGGGGCGCGGCGAGMCGGGGGCGCCAACTTCGCCGCCAACTTGGGGCTGGACTCCGGCGCCGCGCGGGCAAGGACGGCGGAGACAGACGCGGGACACCCAGGGAGAGTCCSACAGCGCAGGGAGCCAGGGAGGGGCGACCGGGGGACAGGGACCCTCGGGAACGGGGCCTGGGGTTTGGACCCTGGCGGGCGGGCGGCGAAAAGGCGACGAAGACAAGCCGAGGAGACAGGGGACGCCAGGGAAGGACGCGGGCCAAGCTCCCAAGACGTTGGTCCCCGGGGTCTCCGAGCCCTCCTCCCCTTCTCCTAGCGTCGCGGTACCGGCGGGCAGTGAGTGGTGCGGGGATGTGTCAGTCTGGGCTGCAGAGTCCCCCAACTGTTGCTGCTGGAAGCCTCTGGGGCCAGGAGTCGGGTGGGGGCCGGGACCTGGGGCTGAGACTGGGTTGACTAGAGTCGGGGGCTGGAGAGGGTGAGGACCCCAGAGGGTGAAAGGGGCTGTGGCAGCTTCAGGAGCCCATTCCTCTGGTTTCCCCATGTCTATGGGGCACCTGCTGTGGCATCTACCTTCCATTGTGAGACCCTTAACCCCCTGTGATCCCCCTAGGCCCTCCCCTCTCAGCTCTCCCTCTTCTATGCCCTCAGAGAATCAGAGTGGGCTTCTGATGTGGTGGCATCTTCCAAAAACCCACCCTGATCCCTGGAGGACACAGCTAGGAGGACTCAAAAGAAGCGGTGGCGTAAGAGGGGTCTGGAGAGCCTGAGCCGGGCTGGCTGAGCCCTGGCTGCAGCGCCAGCGCACTTTGTTCCCCGGGGGATGGCTCTCAACCAGGATCCCCGACGGCTGGGAGGGGAAGTCTGAGCTTCCTGATGCCAAAGGCGGTGGGTACCTAAGCCTAGGATGGCAAGGCCAGGACCTGTGAAGGCACGGGCGGGCACCTTGCAGCCTGAAAATTCCCAGAGGTGTGTTTGGCTACCCTTCAAAGGTCCTGCTGGGTGAGTGGGCCAGAGGACCCCTGGGGTTGATGCTCAACCCATTTGTCCATCCCGGTTCCCTGCCCTGCTAGCCCAAGGAGACTTAGCACTCAGCCCCCCAGCCCTTGGATGGAGGCCTCATCCTCCATCCTGATCCTGGCCATGGAAAAAATCAAAGAAAGGACCTGATTTGAAGAGGGTGCCATCGTACTGGCTCTATTTCGGAACCAGTCCAGTTCCTAAACGAACCAGTGGCTCTGAACCTGTATCTAAATTCGGAAGAGTAAGAATGTGAAAGGGACAGGTAGGCAGGAAACCGGACTCCTGAGTTCGCTCCGGCCCCAGGGCGCCCTGGGCTGGGACCTGTCTCACAGCGCCGTCTCCAGGTCTGCTCCCCACCCCCATCGTGGGGCTTGAGATGGAGACCCAGCCCGGGGCACTGGGCTGGGGACCTTAAGGGCCAGGGACACCCACAAGGGGTAGGGGAGAGGCAGGGGGCGCCGAGTGCGTGGTGCCCAGTTTGGCCGCCAGGAGGCGTGGCGCGGGTCCCCGCGCCGGGAGTCACCGCTGGCGCCGCCGCATCGCGAGTGTCCTTGAGCCGCGGGTGACAGTGGCTCTTGCCGCTTGCGCCCCCTCCTCCCGCAGGGGCAGCCTGATGCCACGTTTCCTATGAATTATTTATCGCCGGCCTAAAAATACCCCGAACTTCACAGCCCGAGTGTAAGATTCCTGCCGAGGGGAGGGGGCGGGGTGCCCCCGGGGGCAGAGCGGGATCAGCTGGGAGGGGGCAGTTAGTCTTGGAGCAGCCAGAACTAGGTGCCCCAACAGTGGGGGCAAGATGGAGGGCCAGGCTCTCTCCTGGCGCCTGGGTTCAGATTTTAGCCAGGCAGAAGCGAGCCAGGGAGGGAGGGAAACCCGACGGCAACGGAGGGGCTTCCCCGCAAGGGCATTGGGTCCAGTGGGCAGGGYCTCTCTAGAGGGAGGAATGCGCACCGCGGATGGGTGGGGCCACCTCCTGGGGCCAGAGCTCCAGGCCTGCGAGAGGGGGAAGCCTTCAGTGTCTGCTGTGTGAGTGTGAGTACGTGAGGGTGTGTGGTGTGTGGTGTGTGGGCGTGCGTGTGCACATCCTTTTCGGAGAGCCTGTCCGAGGTATGGGGAGCCAGGAGAAGGGCAGGCATCTAGCATGTGGAAGCCTCAGGTAGGCCCCAGAGGACTACCTTGCCACCCTGTGCCCAGGGTTTTTAGGATACAGTGTTCAGCAAACATTAGTGGCCCTTAAGGAAAGGGGTGAGACCCAGAGTGGGTGGGCAGAGAGTCCCTGAGACAAGCCTCTGCCCTCCAGGGGCCCTCAGTCTACCTGCCGCAGGGCAGGATGGAAGGGCCATTGCAGAGGCCAAGCTCAGAGCTCCCAACCTGGAGAGGACCCAGAGGTTGTGTCTTCTCCCTCCAGGTCCAGAGTCTGATGGATCAAGGAAGGCAGGCACTGGCAGGAGCAGGATTTGGATTGGGCTCTGAAAGACAGTGGAATTTTGTCAGGAAGAGGACACTCCTGCCCAGGGAAGAGCAGGAACCAGGGCCTGGAGATGAGAACAGTGTGGGCTGCAGCCACTGGGCTGGCAGAGTTGGGGGATCCATGAGGAGGAAGACAGTAGGTTGGGGTCAGGATGTGGGGGACACTGTGCCCAAGACTAAGCTGTTTGGACTTCATTTGTGGGCACCGGGAGACAGTTGTCCTACTTGAGGAGGCACACAGGGGCCAGGGGAGAGTTTTGGCAGCCCAGTGGCACAGGCAGGTGGGTGGGAGGGAGGTGGAGAGGGGAGGTGGGAGGCTGGGGGAGGAGTGGCTGGGCTAGTGATGGCATGCCACTGGGCATGGCGGCCACCTGGTGAGGAGCCTGGAGCCCAAGCCTGCTTGAATCTGTCTGCCCGTTGCTYTGTGGGGCACAGAGTTGCCTGATGCCAGCTGTCCCTCATCTGAGACCCTCTGGCTGGAGGCACAACCTCCTTCCACTTCTCCTCTTCTCTGTTCCCCCCAGGAGGACATCTTGGAGAGGTTCTGGGGGCAGTGCCCCTTTAGGGTTAGGAGAGGACCTGAATCCTTTCTATAGATCACACTGTCTGAAAGAAATAAATAGGAGCACAGGTGTCATTTTAAAGTTTCTTATAGCCATATTTTCAAAAGTAAAAAAAAGGTGAAATTAATTTTAATAGTGTATTTTGTTTAATTTAATATATCCAAATGTTATTTCAACATGTAATCAATATAAGACCATCAATGAGGTGGCTTTCATTTTTTTATGCTGTCTCCATACGCAGTGTGTATTTCACACTGCCAACATGCTGGGTTTGGATGAGAAACATTTCAGTACTCTACAGTTGCCTGGGGCTGGGGATACCATATTGGCCAGCACAAATTGAGGACTGAGAGCTCATTGTTGGGAGGTGGAAGTGGCAGGAGGGTTGAGGCTTCCTGAAAGCGGGCAACCTGTAGGGACTAGAGGCGTGGGCAGAGATGAGCACACTGGCCTTGTTAAGAAACAGAGAGCATGACAGCACGTGTGTGTGTGTGTGTGTGTGTGTGTGTGTGTGTGTGTGTGGTGCTGGGGATGGAACCCAGGCCCTTACCCATGCTAGGCAAGTGCTCCACCACTGAGCTCCAGCCCCAGGCATGACAGTGCCCTTTGCTGTCATGATTTTGCAATCCCAGATTGGTGTTAGCTTCAGCTACTACTAAGAATGTAAGATCCCATCCCAGACTCAAACAGGTCTCCAGACTGACATTTTCGCTAGTGCACCAGGAAACTGTACACATGGGAGATTTCAAGGGCACCAACATGAACCCAGTTTCCCTCCCGTGTCCCAAGTCATATCTTCCCAGCCTGAAATTCTACCACGTGGCGTTTTAGCTTAAAGCTCTGACTGTCGTTAAACTACATCTCCC